ACACATAAAAGAGAGAAGCTTACGACGACGTTTTGGTCCGACTTGGACCATTTACAGTGTGACTTTGTAAATGGTCCAAGTTGGACCGAAACGTCGTCGTAAGCTTCTCTCTTTTATGTGCGGGTTATTTGTGTATCGGTCCAGTCACGGTATTGTGCCTTTTTTTGTTATTAATAACAAGAATTACTTGCTGGGGAAAATAAAAGCATGTCTTTTATTTTACTTGTACATAATATTAAATGATCAACTATGAAAAAGCGAGAGGGGCTGTAAGTGTATAAACTGAAGAATTATGTGGGTTAGAATAAAGTTGAGATGTGAGAAGAGGGTTAGAGTAAATGTTTATGTACCTGAGGTGAGAAGTGTGTAGAGGGAGAGATGCAGGGAAGGCCCGAGTAGGCTGGGCAGGACAGCACAGACCAGAGCAGGTAGGATAGCACAGGCCAGAGTAAGCTGGACAGGACAGCACAGGCCAGAACAGGCTGGATGGGACAGCACAGGCCGGAACAGGCTGGGCAGGAGAACACAGCCCAGAGCAGGCAAAACATGACAGGACAGGCCAGAGCAGGCTGGGCAGGGCAGGACAGGTCAGAACAGGCTGGGCAGGACATGATAGGACAGGCCAGAGCAGACAGGACAGGCCAGACCAGTGCAGGCAGGGCTGGACAGGCCAGGGCAGGACAGGACAGACCAGTGCAGGCAGGGCTGGACAGGCCAGGGCAGGACAGGCTAGAGCTGGCAGGGCTGGACAGGACAAGCCAAAGTAGGCTGGGCAGGATGGGACAGGCCAGAGTAGGCTGGGCAGGACATTAACCTTTGAGTTACTATATGTAGTCCAATGGACTGCTATCATTTCACCATATATTATGTCTCTTATTCTTATTTATCCTTTTTTCTAAAAAAAAAAAAATTATTACCTATTAGCAAAACCTTTTCTGTGCATATATTTCATGATTAGATATGTAACTTAATGTCAACAGATGGTCCTGGAGGTCAGCCAGATGTGGGTGTGTTTATTAGTGAGCACAAGAGCAAGGCAGACAATGATCCCAATGCTCCTCCATTTGACGACCTTCGCAATTATGCTTATGAGGGTGGTGGTTCTACTGCTGGATCACTCTCTTCACTGGCCTCAGGTAATCTTCTCCCTTGCTCTCTCTAATTCTCACTTGCATATACATATGGAGTGAACAAACATAGAGATGATGAAAAAGAAGGTAAGATGATCACTGTATATTTTAACATCATTCTAAGACCTTCAGCAAATTTAAACAGTGTACGTTCAGTAAAGTTACTAAAGTCAAGTTCTAGAACAAATATAATTTACGGAAGGTATGGAAAATTCTGTGATGATGATTATGAATATTTCTAGCATCTGCATTACATACGAAAGACATCTGAATGTGTTCTCAATATTTAAGCTGCCGTTACAATGCCAGATAAATTTCAAAGAATGTTCTAAAACAAGTTTGGCACCTCTTCTTTCTTTTGTCTTTCCTCTAAGGTCATGTTCGGTATTTGTTAAGCTGCAGAATAAAGGCTTCAGATGGTAACAGATCCCTGCTTCCTCTTCTCACAGTATATATCTGCTAGGAGTTATACACATCTGTTCTTCACATTTCTAAGCACAGTTTTCTTTACCTTTCATTTTTATGAAGCCACTTCATCTAGTTAATAGGACAAGCCAAACCAGAAACTACTATATACAGTGGAACCCCGGATTTCGTCCGCATCGGATATTGTATGATTCGGATTTTGACCATTTTTTTTGGCAAAATTTTGTTCTGGATTACGTACCTCGTCCTGGAAATTGTCCGTATCAGACGCGTCCGCCCACCCAGGACGCTGCCACTCGTGTATGTGTCTCAGTCTGGCTCTGTCACTGATTGAGTGAGCATTCATCTGAAACATTTCATAATAATCCATTGTTTTTTGTGCTCGTTTATTGAGTTACGACTGTGAAATAAGCCACCATGGGCCCAAAGAAAGTTCCTAGTGCCAGCTGTTTGGTAAAGAAGGTGAGAAACACCTCTATCTGCAACATGTTCAGTGACAGTACCTTGTCCCATTTTAGGCAAATTCAAGAAAAAGATTGTAGAAAAATACGAAAGTGGCGTACGTGTGGCCGAGCTCGCCAGGATGTATGGTAAGTCCAAATCAACAATCAATTCCATCCTGATACAGAAAGTAGAAATCAAGGAAGCTGATGTTGTGGAAGGGGTGATTAAGGACATTTGTGCAAAGTGGAATGATGTGCAAACTCTTGTGGAAAAATATTACCCTGACCAAGCTGATAAGTCATATCTGCAACATGTTCAGTGACAGTACCTTGTCCCATTTTAGGCAAATCTTAGCCCTTTCAAGGTCCACAGGCCCTCTCAGAGACTTGTTCTCAGGGTCCCCCAAATTTCAAAAAAAAAAAAAAAAAAAAAAAAAAAAAAAAATTCTTATGAAAAGATAGATAATCTTTTCCCGATCATAATGACACCAAAAGTATGAAATTTGATGGAAAACTTATGGAATTATGCTCTCGCGAAGTTAGCGGTCTCGGCGATGTTTACGCATTAGCGATTTTGCCCACTTTGAGCCCTATTTTCAGCCAATTCCAGTGTACTAGTTGATAAAAATCATACCTATTTCGCTAGAACTCCATTTTTTCTATCGAATGAGTACAAGAAACCACCCATTTACCGATTTCAACTATCCAATACAGTGGTCAGAATTTAGCAATTTTGCCAATTTTACACAAATTTCAAAAGATGCCAATTTCCAAATAGGGTCCAGAATAAACAAGAAAGACATTCCTGGCACTAATATAACATTTCCTCTCTTCATTAGTCACATCCCACTTACATTCTTTTGCTTTCTATTTTGAATTTTTATTCTCACAAAAAATAGAAGATTTACTGTTATGCAGACTACTGCATTAGTGTAGAAATGGTATAAATAATATCGGCGCACTTGTGAAAGAATATTAGACTCGCCAGTTGACGTGTATTGGATGCTTAGCATGATTTGTTTACTTTTGAACTTTGGTAAAAATTGAACATTTCTGCTACTTTGACCTCAATTTCAAGGTACTTTTCATTGTAAAACCAGTCAAAATCATCTCAATTTCTGTAATATGTCTTCCATTCTATCAAATAAGACCAGGAAAACTAGAATACAACAATAAATACCATATGAAAATACAGTGCAAAGTCGCTGTTTTAATCCAAAAACACGGTCAAAGTTTTTTTTTTCTTATTACACCCTGTGTGCTGCAGGATTTTTTTTATACTGCGCACACTGACCACATAGACCCATTCTTTCATATGTAGGCCTACCAGCTTTCTCTCACTAGATTTGAAGGCGCTAGAATTTATAAGTACTAGTTCGTCAAGGACCCTGGCACTTAAGCCCTACTAGTACGGCCGAAACCCTGAAAGGGTTAAGAGATGCCAGAAACAGAGCTCTCTGGACAGATTTTTAGTACGACAGGGGTCCAGTGCCAGTAAAAGACAAAGAAGGGAGGTAACCCCGGATAGGGCTTTGGAGGGGGATTCCCCTTCCAAACAATAACCTTTGCTCCTCCTCCCTCTTCCCTTCTCGCAAGCCATACCCCAACAAGAGTCTTCAGTATAGGTAAGTGTGATGTTAAATGTTCATTTATCCATTTCATAAGTCATGTTTCTTTCTCATTCTTTTCTGTATGTAAAACTATAGTTATTCTTTAAAAAATGTATTTTTGTTAATATTTTTGGGTGTCTGGAATGAATTAATTTTATTTACATTATTTCTTATGGGAAATATTGCTTTGGTTTTCATCTGCTTCGGATTTAGACCTTCTGGTTTAACGACAAAATCCGGGGTTCCACTGTATATAGTTTGAGAAAATATTAAAGTGGCAGACAACATTCTACATAATGTTAACCAATCATGCAATCAATTAAATAGGTTAATCAGTTTATGCTTAGGTAATTATTAATGTGCTGTATTTATTGATGAGTTATGTCATAGTTACCTGGAAGTGATTAGTTATGCCATAGTTGCCTAGCAGTGTTAGTTCATTGCTCCTTTGAAACATAATGAGATTTGGCTTTCTCCTGGACAGGTCGAATCAGTTACATTATTTGGTTGGCTAGAGTCGGACAATGTAAATTGTGATGGCCTGCATCAGTTTTGCATCTTCATGTAAAGATTTCTGCAATTCATATGAAATTCTTGTAAATTTGCTATGCAAGATTGATACATCCATTAATAATGTTAATATTAGTGCACTAACCACATTATTATTAATATTTGACTATAGTACTGTACAAATATTTTAAAAATATCATGAACTGTACAAATGTAAGTTTTTATAATTGGTGCCTTGCCAGGAGCAATGGGCTAAAAAAGAGAAGAAGAAAAACTTTATAAGACTGGGATGCTTGAATGTGCGTGGATGTAGTGCAGATGGTAAGAAAGAAATGATTGCTTTGTTATGAATGAAAAGTTGGATGTCCTGGCTCTAAGCAAAACAAAGATGAAGGAGGTAGGTGAGTTTCAGTGGGGGAGAAATAAATGGGATTAAATCAGGAGTATCTGAGAGGATTAGAGCTAAGGAAGGGGTAGCAATAATGTTGGAGGATCAGTTATGGAAGAAGAGGGAATATAAATGTATAAATTCAAAGATTATGTGGGTTAAAATAAGGGTTGGATGCAAAAAGTGAATCATAATAGGTGTGTGTGTGCACCTGGAGAAGAGAAGAGTGTAGAGGAGAGAGAAAGAGATTTTGGGAGATGTTAAGCGAGTGTGTAGCAACTTTTGAACCGAGAGAGTAATTGTGGTAGGGGACCTGAATGCTAAAGTAGGAGAAACATTTAAAGAGGGTGTGATAGGCAAGTTTGGGGTGCCAGGTGTAAATGATAAAGGGGGGGCCCTTTGATTGAACTTTGTATAGAAAGGTTTTTTTTTTTTTGTAGGTTATACATATTTTACCTAGGTAGTAGGTTGGTAGACAGCAACCACCCAGGGAGGGTTGTTGCTGTCTACCAACCTGTCTACCGTCCTGCCAAGTGAGTGTAAAACGAAAGGCTGTAATTGTTTTACATGATGGAAGGATTGCTGGTGTCTTTTTTCTGTCTCATAAACATGCAAGATTTCAGGTACGTCTTGCTACTACTTCTTACACTTAGGTCACACTACACATACATGTACAAGCATATATATACACACCCCTCTGGGTTTTCTTCTATTTTCTTTCTAGTTCTTGTTCTTGTTTATTTCCTCCTATCTCCATGAGGAAGTGGAACAGAATTCTTCCTCCTTAAGCCATGTGTGTTGTAAGAGGTGACTAAAATGCCAGGAGCAAGGGGCTAGTAACCCCTTCTCCTGTATAGATTACTAAATTTAAAAAGAGAATCTTTTGTTTTTCTTTTTGGGCCACCCTACCTCGGTAGGATACGCCCGGTTTGTTGGAAAAAAAAAAAAAAAAAGAGGATAAATAAGTATACAAGATATGATGTAGACCGTAACGACAGTAGTTTGTCCAACTACGTATTGGTAGATAAAAGACTGTTGGGTAGACTTCAGGATGTACATGATATATCAGATCACTTTTTAGTTGTAGCTACAGTGAGAGTAAAAGGTAGATGCGATACAAGGAAAACGGAAGCAGCAAGTAAGAGAGAGGCGAAGGTTTATAAACTAATGGAGGAGGCAGTTTAGGCAAGATGTGAACAGCTATTGGAGGATAGATGGGCTAGTGAGAGTATAGGCAGTGGGGTCGAAGATGTGTGGGATAGGTTTAAGAATGCAGTGTTAGTGTTCAGCAGAAGTTTGTGGTTACAGGAAAGTGGGTGTGGGAGGGAATTAGAGCGATTGATGAAATGACGATGAGAAAAAATTAGCATACGAGAGGTTTTTACAAAGTAGAAATGATGCAAGAAGGGAGGAGTATATGGAGAGAAAAAGAAAGGTTAAGAGAGTGGTAAAGCAGTGTAAAAAGAGAGCAAATGAGAGTGGGTGAGATGTTATCAACAAATTTTGCTGAAAATAAGAAAGTTTTGGAGTGAGATTAATAAGTTGAGGAAGCCGAGGGAACAAATGGATTTAATAGTTAAAAATAGGAGAGGAAAGTTATAAAAGGAGAGTTAGAGGTATCGGGAAGAT